CTATAAAATAATTTTCTGTCGTAAATACACTCATCGAGTCATTGGCTAAGAGATATCACGTGTCCTGGTTTCAAATGGCACAGACAGAAAGCAGAATAACCGTCCCCCATAAAACTGTGTCGGGGTGTATACGCTAGGCCTCGTAACGTCGCTATAAATAATAGTACTTGGAAAATTTATTAGGATTTTTGAAGCGAGAAGCAAGAAAAATCACATCAGTGCCGTTGCCAGGATTCGAAATCCGGTACATCCATTATTATTAGCCAGAAGGGGTTCAATTTATACCATGAAGACACGCACCAATTAATGGATGAATTCGTTGCATTTTTTTCTTTAATAGTTCTGTAATTTAAAAGTATCTCCTAAGGTGCCAAATAAACGAAAAAAGAATTCAGTTCGTTTATGTTTTAAACAAAATTCCCATTTTACTGAGATTTTTTTCTTTAGCTCCAGCATCATATTTTTAATTAAAAGTCCATATTAGTAGCAATTATTTCCAAAATTAAATTTCTGACGTTTCCTTACTTCTTTTATAATAGGTATTTTATTTTTTTTTTTTTTTTTTTTTTTTTTTTTTTTTCTACCAATGGCGGGCCTTCAGCCGATTTTGGTTTGTCCATTACTAAGGCCAAAAGTGGTGATTACTCTATTAAGCAGGCACCTAATAGGTGGGCCACCTTTGCCTCTATGAAGGGACGGAAAGTTACAACTATGCCTTCTCAGGGATTCGAACCCGGACCCTATGGTATCGCAGTCGGCTCCCCTAACTACTATACCGTCTGGGCGGCTTATTTTAATATTGAAGCTTTCTTAAAAGATAACAAATTATTTGTACGCAAAAATTGCGTCTTTTAGATATATGTATATCTTAAAGGAACAAGTTTAAAATGAAGTTTTGAACAATCTAGGAATACGTACATATACTGAGATGTAACAAGAGACACATAATATCAGAGCCGTAACCAGAGTTTTCAATTCGCTGACGAGTTTGCGTCCCTTTCTGTGTGCCAAGAATGGAAAACATTTCATTCTAAAATTTCGTAACATCAGTATGGACCCCCGGGGATGCTGCGCCCGAGGATAAATATTCTTCCTTGCCCTACCCTAGCTACACCACTGCATGATATGCCTCTTTTATTTACGCAGCAGAAATTTTAATGTAGGCATAAATTCCATATTGAAAACCATAGACTAAAATTATTTTTAAGCATTTTTGAAATTAACAATTATTAAAGTATTATTTGAATTTATGATTAATGATTAATCAGCGTTGCAAAATACAGAATCTGATCTAAATGAGACATTTTTAGTTTTAATATAGTTATGTAAAAATACTTCACGATTTAGCAAAAAATGCGTAATTTAAAACTGCATAATGTAAAGTTGGTAGAAAATCTAGTTAAAAATGTTGTAGCTTTCTAATACATCTTGCGCAAAATATGTAATAATTTTGCGCTGCAAGTTGTTTTAGACCCTACTGGTTCTGTGGCATCATCATTGGTCCTCGTCTACTCTACTAGATATATTAAGAGCGATTTTTGCCGAAAGGGGATACCTGTGAACGTAGCTGATTTTGGATGACGCGTAGGGGATAATCATAAACATAGGGCACGTATCTTGATCATTAAACACATCTAGGCAATAACCAGTCCCGCACAGAGGGGCGATAGAGCCCATTTTGAGACCACTCTCTATTGGCAAGTGGGCCGCTGTTAGGTTGCTGATATCAGGGTGAGATTTTAATCGGCGCTTCTTTGTTACAATTGATTGGTTTGGCGTCGCTGCATGAGGATGTGGCTGATGCTGCTGTAAAGCAGTTTTTTGTGGGGGAAGCGCGACAGCAAAATATCCAAATTACGTCCTAGAATCGCCACTACGGCGGCGTTGCTTGAAGAATTGCCACAAATGAGTTTGGACTTTGTCCATTTCGTGTTCAAATCTATAACCTCGTTGTGAAATTGGAAGCCCTTCCGGAATGGAAGGTGATGATTTCGAATCCCGGCGAGGATATCGCACATTTTCCAGTTTCTTGCTACGTAATGAACTTAACGGCTCTGCAGTGTTAGTAAGCAATTATTTTCTGTGTGCTGATAATAGAAATATCATTTGCAGTCCTTCATCAACATTCTGTTGCTATTTATTGTTTCTCCCTTACAAATCATATTTTACTTTAGAAATATGTATAGAGTAGAATCTCTCTACCTTTTACCTATAATGTCATATAAAACTTTATTTTGAATAAGTTAAACATTTCGCTTTCAAACATTCGTTTTCGAAACGCATAAATTTATTTCTTGCGAAAAAATAATTAAAAATCTCTCCATAAAATAATTAAATCATTCTTCTCACTGACTTCGATGCAGTGCCATTTAAATAGAAAGGAATATCATTTTAACAGCTTATCATTCATTTAATTATCAGATTTTTACGGGTAGGTTTCAGATGTATTTAGTAAATTGGAGAATCTTTTTTTTTTTTTTTTTTTTTTTTTTTTTTCCATAGAACTTCAAATGTGTCAAATTTACAATGTCTAGTCAGCAGTCCAAAATGCATAAACATTTCTTTCTCTAAGTCGAATGAGGAAATTTTTCGAATAATTAATGTATATCCTCGACGTAAACCTACCCTTCTACTTTTCGTATTCCAATGAATACTTGAGACGCAACCTGAAGTACATAATTATCTAAAAATCACTACGTGCGAAATAACATTTCGGAAAAGACGGAATATAATATTAAAGGGATTTTAGAAAAAAAAATTAATAATAAACATATAATATAAAAAAATTAATTTAAAAAATCTGAAAGTTTTTCAGATTTTAAATAACGTCCAAAGGAGCGTTTTTTAACATTTTGTGTGTTACCTTTATTTATTAAATATCATGTTCTACGTAATTAAACCATAAAATTCCGTACAGCAACAATATCGCAAAATGACTTTAAAATGAGTATATCTTTATAATTTCCGATACAGAGTCTCGAGCGCTGGAGATAATTGTTTTTTTGTACAGTATGCCATTGCTCGCTTTGAAATCGTTTAGTTTTTTAAATCAAGAATTCGTTGAAGTGTTACAAAATATTAAAATCGATAATAAAACAAATTTCAAATTCAAATTAAAGCTTCCAGATGATCATATTCTATGAAAGATTACGTTATTCAAATTTTGATGGCTGTATGTACCGTTGTTTTATCACAATGAGAGAAATATACCTACATTCAAGCAGATTCTTCATTACTTAATATATTTAATATAATACAGGAATCTAGTATTTGGTGGGAACAATTTGAAAAGTGATTCACCGCTTATAGTTTTCAATGCAAAATGCGAAAATTAAATTAATAGTATTTTAGGCAAAGTGCCCCTTTGAACTAATAAAGAACACAATAAAAATTTGATGATAAATAGAAAAAAAAAAAAAAGAGGGAAGTGGAATAAAAAGAAATCTGAAAGGTTGCAGATTTTTAAGGGTCACCGAAAGTTTTGTTAAGGTATTTTTACACTCCAGCTAAACTCGCAGTCTATCAGCCTGCTGTTACACTCCTACTAACTTTTTTAGAATTTTTAGCTTTATTAAGCATAATTTGCTTTGCGCTTATGCCATATGTAATTCTAAAGCAAAATTACAGAAATTTAAAAGCAGCATAACAGTATACATTTAGAATTCCCGATGCAGCATTTTGCGTTGCCATACATTTTTCTTTTTGTTTTCAATCTTTTGTTACTTCATCATATCAATATTCAGTTTTCTTCATAAGATGACTTTACAAAACGCTTTTGTCCTTTTATTATTAAAGATTGTGTGTTTATTTTATTTATGAAATATCACGTTCTTGTCGCTTACGCTACATAAAATTCGATTCAACAACAAATTGCAAAATGTTTAAAAATTGCATATCTTTAGAATTTCCGATAGGCAGTCTTCGCGCTGGAATTAAAAATTTTTTATTTCGTACATTGTTGCCATTGCTTTGAAATATTTTATCAAAAATTCGTTAAAATTCTACAAAATATGAAGTAGACAATAAAACAAATTCCAAATTCGGGGATCCAGGCACCCATGTTTCCGGATGGAGAACTACCTTATTCCAACTTCCAATGGGTCTAGGTACCTTCTTTTCATAGTGCGGGAAACCTACAGGCATATATGGAGATTCTTTATTATTTAATTTCTTTAAATATAATACAGAGCGATAATATTTGGTAGCAACAATTTGAAAAGTGAAACTGACATTTGTTGTGAGCAAAATACAGTTTGGAGACTAACAGCCCTCCTCGGCTAACGCCCCTTTGGGCTAAAAATTAAGGAATATAATTTCAGGTGGCATTAAAAATTAGCGAAAAGTTAAAATTGTGAAGATTCAGTGAATGCGTAGAATATTTTATGTTAATCAATCATTTATTATGATTGCGACCTTTAGTATGACTTCTCCCTTTTTGCATTTTTCACCAGAATGCGAAGTAGCTGTATGTAGTTAGGCTGAAATATTTCGATCTGATAGACACAGTATTTTAGACATTTGCGCGACGTGGTTAATTCCTGCCAGCCCTAGCACTTGTAATTATTTTGCTTTGGCATGTCTTGCCGCCGATATTTAAAATCTAACCACACCGAAAAATATTGAGCCAACTTCTAACTTAGCATTTTAATTTTGTAACCTTAGACTACCGTTCAGTGTCTAAATTTATTGACTGCTCTTATTTTAATTTGAATTTCCTCAAGCTGTGATTATTTTAGCACAAAGTCATGTATTTATGCTCAAATTTCTGTATAAATCAGAAGGTTATTTTTATAACCTTCTGAAGATTTTATTATTCTGTCTCAGACATAGTGATAACTCGCTTCGCAACAGTTAGGGTTATAAGACTTAAGTAGCATAAACAGATGAGGCGTAACCCTGTAATTGAACTAATCAAGATAAACTAACACATTTTAAAGAAAGGCCTATTATTAAAAAATAAAATAGATGCTTTACAACGAAATAATTATTTGTACGTTTTTTTCTAGTCACTCCGATGATATGGATACCGAATCAATTGGTTGGAGCACCTGTAACAACAGACGTCCTACTACAGTGCAATCTAGAATCTCATCCCCGGTCTGTAACGTACTGGATGAAAGAAGGTGGAATTATGGTTCTTACGAACATCAAGTATAAAATTGAAGTTCAACCCACAGTGTTGTATAAGGTGCAACTAAAGCTGTACATCAGGAATCTGCAACCGGAAGACTTCGGATCCTATACATGTGTTGCTAAGAATTCATTAGGAGAAACAGAGGGTACCATTAGACTGTATGGCAAGTGGAAAATTTTATATATTTCTTAATATTAACGAAAGATATCCTTCATTTTGATTGTTAAGTAACAAAATATACCAGTTGTAATAGTAGTTTTTGTTAGATGTGTATCTTAGATATTTTGTACATTTAAATTTAAATAGGAAACAAGTGTATCTCAAAATATTACGGAATTTTATTTTATGATGTTTGGAGAGTGTAGCAGTTATATATCTCAGTTATTTTCTCATTTCTTAAGGAACACAAATTTAGAGAAGACCATATGCCTGTTTTGTATGATAATTTAATTTTCACAGTCATTGTGATTGAATTGAATAGATTTGCTTTATTTTTGCACAATGCAGGTATTTTACTTTCCTGCTTAATAAAACACCTATTTGTCAAAGAGTTATCTAAATAATAATTGTGTTTTTCGTTAAATTCATTGTTAAGCACTTTTGTTAGAAAAAAAAAATATTTATTTTCTAAAACATACAAGTGCGGTGCGCATCCGCTCCGCTAATAGCGAATGCAGAAAGATTATGTTTTCATATTCAGTTACGTTCAATTTTCTTACCTCAACGTGCCTGTGTTTCACCGCCAGATTCTGGCGATGAATTTTGTGTTATACCCACACTCCTGATACTTAATCATTTTGTAATCCCCCCACTGTCTTCAATGTTCTATGGCTCTAGCCGCTCGACTACTGGTTAATGCTGATCCTTCAAATAGGTGCTCTTAGTTAATTCATTACAAATGCTTTGGTAGTGATCTGTGACAGCAATGTATTTCGTTTCTGTTGCTCTTCGAGAATGAGTAACGGTGCAAACAGTTTCGACACATACAATGGTGGGAAAAAATATTTGAACAATACAATTTCATGCAATAATTTTTATTGCAAATGGTGTCAATTAATTAATAAATTCTTATATAATAACTGGTTCACTTATAAATAAAAAAGAGTGTTTGTTGTCCCCCAAAACATACAAGTGTCAAGATATGCAAATATTCAAGTGGAAAAGTATTTGAATTGAACAATTTTAACTTGAAATTCAATGAAACGAATACTAAGAATAAAGTTTTATATTTTGGGGGGAAATGTCTATTGTTTGTAACACCCTGTAGTCTTCTCTAACGTTCTGGTAAGATCTGACGATATATTTTCCCATGTTTTCAAAAGAATATTTTTGAATTAATTTTTATTTGAAAAATTATTTTTTAGCTTCTTGATCCAAACAAGTACGACAAATTCTTAATCTGATTGATATCAGGTGATTGGGATGGAGTTTTCAGTCTTTGGGAAAGTTTACATAAGAATAATATTTTTGTAACCCCCTAGCTTTATGTTTAGGGTCATTGTCTTGTTGGATCCAAAAGTCTTCTTTGTTGTTGTCTTGTCGATATTACATGGAACAATGGTTACCAGAGCTTACCCCGAAGAGAGGTAAAGTCTTCTTTAATATCCAATTGTGGTACGCTTTGAAATAATTATCTCGCATTATCAAATTATCGTATATTCTCGCATTTAAAATTTTCTCATTTCTAGTCAAATTACCAGTTTCATGCCAGCTCATACTACCTTTATCATAACGCTCCCAACACCATGCTTTACAGTTTTTAAGATGTAGAGCCATTTTACTTTTTCTACAAACAATTTTGCTATCATCGGATCCAAACAAGGAAAATTTAAACAGTGCAAATAGTCATTTTTTCAAAATTTTAAAGGCTTATTTATATATTGTTTTACAAAATGAAGCGTGTGTGTGTGTGTGTGATTATGGCAAAGCCTCGAGGGCTATCTGCCTAAGGGGAGGGATGCCTTCGTGGAGGACTTTCTAAGGGAAACTGGCTCGTATACACGTTACACATGGGGAAAACCACGAAAATGCCCATGCAGCCAGCCCGTTCGCGGGATTGGAAGAACCTCTGACCGAACTACCAGTGTTCAACGACTTTACCGCTCGGCCGCTGGTGGGCCTACAAAATGAAGCCTTTTCTTTATTAGTTTCATACTTTCATATGGTATACGGTTTTTCTTATACACTCCTGGCTTTATATCTGGATTTATGTAGAAATTTCTTACTGTTCGAGGTGTAACACAAACACCTAAGTAAGATGCGAAGTCATTAGATATTTCTACACTACAAATAAAAGATTTTTTTTTTTCTGTAGAAATTACGGTCGCCCTGTCCTCTTTTTACTTCGATACTTCCAGTTGATTTATATTTACTCATCGCATAAGGGATAGTTGATAAATTTAATCTTAAAATTTTTGTTATTTCACGATAAGTAGAGCAATTGTTTCTTAAATTTACAATTCTATCGTACATTGCTAAAGTCAACTCATTCTACTTTCCACACATTTCAAAATAATAAATATGTAATAAAAAGGGAATTGAAACTAATACGTCTAATAGAAAGGTTCTAGAAAATATTGCACTTCTGTTTAGCTTTTAGTATTCGAAGTCAAGTTTCAACCTTTTCCATTGATTGTTCAATCCTTTTTTCTTGGAAATTTGCATAATTTCGTTTTTTGCCGTTGTGACAAGTTTACCTGATAGTTATATTTTATTTATTATATAAGATAATTTGAACTTGTTATTATGTAAAAATTCAATTTAAATTACCTCATTCGCAATAAAATTACTGCAAAAATGTGCATTGGTCTACTGCATTTTTCTTCTAACGTACGTATTTAAGTGAACACATAGAACTGGAGGTAACAACAGATTGAATGAACACCCAGAATTAAAGGTAACTCATTGGTACATATCACCTGCTAAGAAGTTACACATACAAAACATTTCGTTTAATAAATAATTTTATCTTTCCCCTATAGGATAATGTGTATGAAAAAGTTTTGCCATTGCAAAATATGAAAATTTTGAAAATAAATAAAATATGTTTTCCTTCTTTTTGACACACCTTAAACAATATTTAAAGTCGAGCAATAGCTGTTTCAAAGAATAACACCCTGAGCAATCATTAAAGCATAAATATTCATTAATGCATGAAATAATCCCACTAAATCAGTGGTTGGAAAATTAAAGAAAGCTTAAATAAGGAGCAAATTTTAATTACCGAGACAGTTTATGCTTTAGTAGTTAATGATTACTCATGCTTTAATGATTACTCAAAAAGATTAATTTTTAATTCAACTACATCTTTGTTTTTAACACTAAATGTTATTTTAAAATGTTTCCGGTTTTCTGCCTGAATTATGATGTACATACGTTTCTTCTTTTAAATATTGAATTATTTTATTTTAAATTATAAGACACGTTATGAATAACTGATAGGTGTATAAATATAAATCTCATATAAAAAACAAGCAAAACAATTTAGAAATAGATTCATAAACGTTCAGATATGTCCTATTAAAAACTGACTGTTAACTATGTTATGTATACATTATCATAAAATTGTATAAAGCATTTTGTACAGAGATAAGCATTAAGCTTAGAAGATTCATATTTGCTGTATATCTTTTAGTCTGAAATACGTTTTAAGTGTATATAATATTTTAACATTAGAACATACGGTATAGTGGAGATGAAATAATTTAGGAAGATTAATATTTTTGAGAAGCCTATCTGTAAATTTACTGCAAGTAAATATAGGTAATAATTGCAGTCATCTCTAAATTTAAGTAGAAAATAAAAATCCACGTAAATAAGGAGAAGCAACTGTTATCTATCTCTATATGTAAATTACTAGCATAAGACAGAGTGTGATCTCTAAACAGTAAAAAAAAAAAAAAAAAAAAAAAAAAAAAAAAAAAATAGACTTTTGCTAACATTTCCGCAAGTACTGTAAATTTTTGACGCATTTTTAGAATTTACGGTTACGTTCTTATACGGTTACGTTCTTCAACTATTGAAATACTTTTTAATTACTTCCTTGCGATTTTATAAATACCAGAAATGCTCCTGAAGTAATGCCCTATACGATAAGCTTTCTTTTCATAAAAAAAAAGATATTAATCTAAAAATACAATACCTTTTATGTCAGACCAATCACGCCTTTCGTTTTTCAATAACCTGCTTGACCCTGATTTTGCTTTTACACTATTGCTTTCATTATTACTACTATTAATATTATAAGTACGCGCTATCTATTATAAGGCTATTACATACATTGTACATACATTACTTACTATAAGGATATTACTAGCTATCTCTTGTTTTTTGGCGATTCTTTTTTGACGCCAAGATCGGTGTCGGGAAGGCACAATTTCAAGGTGGCTGCTACACAAAACCAAAATAAGAAGTCAAAGAATTGCAAAATCTGTGTGTCCATGTACACATCGATCTGTTTTCACTTTAAAAAAAAAAAAAAAAAAAAAAAAATCCCAGAATTGCACAAACTAGGCATTGCGCACTGCGTTAAATCTGTCCATGTACACATCAATCTATTTTCATTAAAAAAAAAATCAAGAAGCTAAAACAAAGTTAAAACTATCATGGTAACCAAAAATGAGATTTCATCGCTAAAATAATAATAATAATAATAATAATAATAATAATAATAATTGTCGCTAATCGAAGGGTTACCCAATTCTACACTAGTTCCCCAGGCCTCACTAGCACAAACAGGTGTTTGAGTTCATTGTGATTACCAGAATCATCAGTCATATATTTAGTGTATCGGTTGCAGTAAAATTTTCTCTGTTTTGAATGACTACCTATATATTTTGGCATTCTCGAATTTTCGATTATTAAACAGAATAAAAAAAGTGCAAAAAATGAATCTTTAGCTGTTAAATTAGCGCAGAAAATTTTTACACAAAACCAAAATACCGAAACCTAGGTGTCACCAAAACAATAAGTTTGAAACGTTATTGCCAAACGTGAAAGAGAAAATACTTTACCAGATTCTCCAAAGATATCGAAATGCTTAAAATTATTTAATTTATAAATAACACAGGAAAAAAGTGGAAACTGCACCTTTAATTTACTTCCTTTAAACTATTCCTTTTAATTTATTTCCTTTAAACTTTAACTTCCGATGTGGCAGACAGT